AGAATACAACAGTCACTAGTATGGCAATATGTAAAAACGTGGATGTGTAACCAATGTGATTCTGCAATCTGTATATGGGGTAAAAATGGGAGTTCATAACCCACTTGAATCAAATGTATGAAATATGATATGTCAAGAGCTATGTAATGTTTTAAACAACCAATAAAAAAAAGATATCCAGCTAAAAAAAATTATTTAGTGGCACACTCCTATAATCTCAGCAACTTCAGAGATTAAAGCAAGAGAATCATGAGTTTGAGGCCACCCTGGGCAACTTAGCAAGACTCATCTCAAAATAAAAAGAACTGGGGATGTAGCTCAGTGATAAAGTACCCTTGGGTTCAATCCCCAGTAAATATAAAATAAATAAAATAGTACTTTGTGGGATGAGGTCAGAGTGCATTTATAGATGACATAATTATAAAAATATTGATAATGGCTGAGCCTAGAGGGTACATAGGTGTTCATTTATATTACTATATTGTTATATTTAATCATTATATTAGAGTTCATCAAATTATGCAGTTATACCCTACAAATATTACAAAAACAAATATCTTTGTATATTCAACTTTTTTGAATTTCAATTACTTTCTAAGGATGGGTTCTTTAAGCAGAATCAAAAGTTCAATTTATTTTTAAGGCTTTTTTTTAATATTTATTTTCTAGTTGTAGTTGGACACAATACCTTTATTTCACTTATTATTTTTATGTGGTGCTGAGGATCAAACCCAGGGTCTTGTACATGTGAGTGAGTGCTCTACCACTGAGCCACAACCCTAGCCCTCTTTAAGGCCTTTGATTTAATTGACTATACTAATTTACACTCCCATCAAGAGCATATGAGAATACATATATTACCTCAGCTCATTAATAAGCACCTAGTAACCATCTGAAGGAGAGGCTGTGTTGCTGCCCCAGCTTGAAGGAGTGTCACTCTCCTACTGAGCACCTAGGGTATGGTCAGAGTTCTCTTAGTAATGGTGTTTCAGTAGTTACCAAGTATCAACAATGCCTCAGCAACAGCAGCCTAGAATTCCTCTAATCGAACAGAAGCAAAGTTCTTGCAATATCTGATTATTCTGAATTTAAGGTCTTTTACTTTCCTGTTCATAGGTTCACCGCAGCTCAGGCAGAACTCTATGAAGCTGTTCTAGAGATCCAGAGGGCTTGTCTGTCCCTCTGCTCCCCTGGGACAAGCTTGGAGAATATCTACAGCATGATGTTGACGCTAACAGGACAGAAACTTAAAGAGTTGGGGATCATGAAGAACAGCAAAGAAAATGCTTTCAAGGTACTTCCCTTCTCTTGACCCCAGTTCTCAAGAATGCCAACATGCTGCTCTATTTTACCCTATATAAAGCTAAGTAGACACTTATAATCCTACTAACTCAGGAGGCTGAGGCAAACAGATTGTGAGATTTAGTGAAACCCTGTCTCAACTTTTCAATGGTTGAGGATGTGGCTCAGTAAGAGTGCTAACATACTTGAGGCCCTGGGTTCAATCCCCATTACCACCAAAAAAGAAAGAAAGAAAGAAAAGATCTTTGTATTCTTTATCTGTAGAAAGGATTTGGCTTTAACATTGGTTGAAACAAAAGGAATCAGTACTTAACATCTTCCAGAAGATGGCAGCACATTCTGATTCTTGACTTACTGTGTGACCAGCTCAATATTCAGAAAACAAAATGAAGTCTGGTTCATAATGGATAGGAAAGGACATTAAAAAGAAGAGAAGTTAACTCTCAATCCTTTTGTGATGATTCTGAAGGTCAGAGGAGAGAATGTTTGTTGTTTGAGTGACATTGTTGAGATTTTAACACTATGTTCAAAAGCCTGTCTTTAATAAATTTTATCTGCTCCCAAAATGTAATGATGTCTAAAAATGTAAAACCTCAGCTTTAAGTGGTCAAGCCAGATAGACCATTAAGCATCTTTCATCTCTAAGTTCAGGCTGCTCTAATCGAACAGAAGCAAAGAAGAGAATAGAAAAGAATAGAAATAGAAAAGAAGCTATAAAGCCAGGTATGCTGGTACACACCTGTAATCCCAGACACTCTGGAGGCTTAGGCAGGAGGATTGAAAGTTCAAGGCTAGCCTCAGCAACTTAACTAGACCCTGTCTCAAAATAAAATTTTTAAAGAGGGCGAGGGATGTAGTTCAGTGTTAGAGTGCTTGCCTAGTATGCTCAAGGCTCTGGGTTCAATCCCCAGTACTGCAAAAGAGAGAAGAAAAGAAACTATTGGGGCTGGGTTATGTTCAGCAGTAGAACGCTTGCCTAGCACCTGGGAGAGGCTGGGTTCGATTCTCAGCACCACATAAAAATAAATAAAATAAAGATAGTGTGTCCAACTACAACTAAAAAAAAAATATTAAAAAAAAGAAGCTATAAATTTTCTGTTATTTAGGCTTACACTTCTTTAATTAACTGATAGAAATATCCAAGCTAGTGAATGCCTAATAATTATACCTACTCCACAGGTTGCTGTAACCTACTTAGGGTGTCCAGAGTAGGCTTCCTGAGAGAGATGTGAGAATATTGAAAAGATAAGGATCCTAATATGGTCATCTTCCCTTAACCAAGGAAAGAGATTTTCATTTGTCATAGTCATTACTGGGATTCCCCAAGTCAGCAAGTGTGTAGTAGATTTTTAGTGAGATGGAAATGTGGATTTAGTGTCATTGGCAGAATTGCATATAAGCAGAAGCTAGGCACATGTTAGTTACATTCCCCAGACCCATTATCAGGCCTCTTAAGCAATAGCCCAAGGACAGGTTAGGCATAAGTAGCAGAACCATTGGGAAAGTATTAATGCAAATCTCACTGATTTAAACATGCCCAACTTGCCCCTTAAGAGATCCTTGCTCTAATAAAACTGTGGTTATTATCTCTTCTAGTCTGCTCGAAAATACTGCCCTCACCATGTAGGCCATTACCTTGGGATGGATGTCCATGATACTCCAGACATGCCCCGTTCTCTCCCTCTGCAGCCGGGTATGGTGATCACAATTGAACCAGGTGAGGAGCTCGGTCCTTTCAGGACAAATAATACTGTGATTGTTTGTTTTTACCTGAACCAACATAATTAATTATATTAAAAGAGGGGACAGGAGGGACAGGGTGGATCTCTCCAGTGCAGTGGTGACTTCATTTTAGATTTATCTTTAACTTTCTTATTTAACATCACACAATTCGTTTAATTTCTTTTACCTTTTTTTTCACATAATTTGTTTAATTTTACTTCTCCAATAAACATCAGATGGTGAATGCTTCCTATAAGCAGATATTAAAAAATAAATCTGTTTTTAATTCTGCCTTTGCCAGAGCCAATTTGTGCTATTCTCCCAGTTGTTAGTAGTGGACTGCTCAAACTTCCAAAACCCAGTGAGTGTAGGCAGAGAGACCTACAGACTCTCCATGTTCAAATGCAACATCCCTGCAAGCTACAGTGAACTATCCAGCATTATCCTACTGCTTAGTCTCCAACTCCTTTCTTATAAGCTTCAGTCAAATAGGTTTCCTGATTGAAGTGATACCAGGTGTCAGACAGAATGCAAAAGAGAAATGGTGTGAAAGATTAATGTTCCAAGAGTTAATTTTTTTATTTTTTAAATTAATTAGTTAATTATTTATTTTAAGTAAATAATAGTGCTGGGGATCAAATCTAGGGCCTCATGCATGCTAAGTAAACACTATATTACTGAGTTCCATACCTAGACCCCCAAGAGTTAATTTGTAAAAACAGACACTGTTTTCATGGTGAAAAGAAGATCATAACTTTAGATTAAATGTTTTAACCTCTAAATTATAGAAATTATTGCTTGGAAATATATTTCATACCACCCTTTGAACCCAGTTGTTTGTTGTTCTGGTCTTAGATGTTCTTTAGTCTAATTAGTCTAATCTTGTTAGTAAATGGGTACACATGGATTCTTCCTTAGATTTTTTTGAATCCTCTTTTTATTTTTTTTATTTTTTGTACCAGGGATTGAACCCAGGGGCCTTTAACCACTGAGCCACATCTCCAGCCCTTTTCACATTTTATTTAGAGACAGCATCTTGCTGAGTTGCTTAGGGCCTCGGAAAATTGCTGCAGCTGACCTTGAACTCAAAATCCTCCTGCCTCAGCCTCATGAGCCACTGGGATTACAGGCTTGCACCACTGTGCCTGGGGGGGAAAAAACTTTAATGACTATACAACAGTTTCTGCTTGTTAAGGCTAATAATCACTAAATAAATATTTAAATGCAATTTAAACACATTTAATATATATTTTATCTTTATTTTAGCCACATGCCCTTTTCCAGAGGAGCATTAGGCAAAGGGAGTGTACATATATAATCTGCTAGTTCCCAGCATGTATAGACATATTCATAAGTTAAGTAACTAACTTTAGTGTCCTATGTGAGCTAGTAGACTATGAGGGAATCATGATCAACATTGTCATGTAGAGCCTGTAGACTAATACACAAGATGACTGTAATGATAATAATTCTAGTAATGATTATATCCCATATTATTGATGATTATGTGCCAGGCRCTGTTAAATGTGTTGTCTCATTTAATCCTCATAACTCTGATAGGCTTAAGATACAGACACAGATAAAGAATTATAACTCATATTAACTTGCCCAGGATCACCCAGTTACTGCCATGTTGAACAATGCACTCTTCTCTCTTCTTCTCAGGCATTTATATTCCAGAGGATGACAGAGATGCTCCAGAGAAGTTTCGAGGTCTTGGTGTGCGAATCGAGGATGATATAGTGGTGACTCAGGACTCCCCTCTCATCCTTTCTGCAGATTGTCCCAAAGAGATAAATGACATTGAGCAGATCTGCAGCAGAACCTCATGACCCCCATTGCAACTCAGATGCATCTCAGGTTCAAAACAGGCATGCAGGCATCCCTGCATTTGTGCATTCTGAGTCTCCATGCATATTTATGCACATGTTTTATTTGGGAGTGCAGCAGCTATATATGATGTGTGTAATCATTACATGGGCTTTTCTAAGTAGATGGAAAAATAGAAAAGTGAATTTTGGAATGATTTCTCACTGTGACTTTAGTAACATTAATTCTGTAGAATTAATGATCCAAACAAGTTTAATTTTTAAATGTAAAATAAGGTCTTGGTTATATATGTCATTTCATTCCAATTAACACATTTAAACATAGGGAAAATTCTCTTCTCTCTAGGTCCTTTCTTTTCTTTACTTTCACTGATGTCATAAGATATATGATGCCTGTATTTTGAGCTAATCACCAGGGTCTCTGCCTGTGCTGAGAACTACATGTCAGTGACTTTAGATGGCCAGCACGTACCTTTCATAACTCCTGCCTCCATATTCCATATTCTGCTTATGTACTGGAGCCACATGAACTTGCAGGGTCACTGGCATCCTTTCCATTCAGCCACAGTCCAGATTCAGCAACATGAGCTATTCAACAAAATAGTTTTGAATCTTTCTTGCTATTTGATTCCTGAGCCCTAGAAAGTGTTTAGATTTTTCATAAGGAAGAAAACGGAACAGAAAGAAAAGAATATGTATGTCTCTTACAGATCCAGACTTCCAACTATTTGTTCTCTTCAATTTAAAAATGATTCCTTTCCCAGGCATCCCTGATTCCTTTATAAGTTTTTTGTTGTTGTTGTTATTGTTATTGGTTTTGAGATAAGTTGTTTACCTAGGCTGGTCTTAAACTTTAGGGCTTAAGTGATCCTCCCATCTCAGCCTCCAGAGTTGTTGGCATGCCACTGTACCTGGCTACTTCACAGTTTATTTACTTTGTTTTTTCTTTTTCTTCCCACCTCTCCTCCCAGTACTAGAACCTAGCGCCTCACATATACTAGGCAAGCACTCTACCTACCACTGAGCTGTATCCCCACATCTTTTAAATTTTGAGACAGGATCTTACTCAGTTACCCAGGCTGGCTTAGAACTTTGTAATCTTCCTGGCCCTGGCCCAGCCTTTGCCTACCTGGGATTACATTTAAGTCCTACCATACCTGCCACCACACCAGGTAATGCACTGACCTCATAAGTCACTCTTGAAATTACTGCACTGGCCAAAAGCAGATCCCCCCCTTACCCTGTTAAAGTCAAAATAATGGCATTCAGTTTTCAGAGAAATAACCCTCCTATTCTGTGATTTCCTCTAGCTCTGATTAAATATTTTAATCAATACAACAACTCAGTCTGTATAATGAACAGAGCTAAATTACTAAAGATGGTTTATTCAGAAGTCTTCTTTCTAAGGACCAGTGCATTCACCTCCTTTAAACCCAATATACAAAACATAATGGTTCAAGGGTTTGTGGTTTTCTTTTTTTCATATTTGTGTTGGATTAGTAATCTAGTGCTAGAAGTTTGCCCATAGTACGTACTGAGCCAAAAACAGACAAAAGAAAAAGATAATGTTACAACAAAAGTGATAAGAGATCACATTCTGACAGATAGTTCTCATCCACAAGTGCCTGGCTCTGGTAATGTTAGCTAAGTGGCTAAGGGAATGGAGGCTGCACCAGTGGAGGCTATATCCCCATTCCTGCCCTCCCACCTTCTTCCAATTCTCAGTCTGTGCTGCTTTCTAACAGAAAGGGAGGGGCATAAAACCACTCTGGCTTTTCATTCACCTAGCCTTTGTACTTTTTTTTTTTTTTTTGTAGTTGCAGATGGACAGAATGCCTTTATTTTATTTGTTTATTTTTATGTGGTGCTGAGGATCGAACCCAGTACCTCACAAATGCAAGCACTCTGCCACTGAGCTACAGCCCCAACCCTCCTTTATTCTTTTTAAATCCTGGAATACAGAATTTCCTTTTCTTCCCGTAACTTGTTTTCTGTGGTCTTCACCTGGACATCATGCAGAAAAGTTCTACAGAAGTACTGGTGTCTATAGTCCTTGCGCCAGGTTCATCCTCCTTTGAATTAACCATATAGTCCCTGCGCCAGGTACATTGTCCTTTGAATTAACCAGATTAACCATAGTAGCTAAGCGTTTGAGTCAGACTATTAGAACATAATGAAGATCTCATAGCTGTCTAATATATATTAGGATTTGTTGAACAGGTAATTTTTCACAGTGCAGAGATCTTATTCGTTCTTAGCCATGCCACAGACATACCCCATATTTTTCTCCAGTCAAAAGTATAATAATCAAATATTTCACATATACTACCAGGCTTTCCTACTGAGAACTTTTATTTAAAATTTAAAAATGAAAAGAAAAAAACCTTCTCCAGATATTGTCACTGGAATTTTTCCCCTGCATTTAGATATGTGGTTGTATCATCAATTATACCATCTAAATGAAAGAAGCATATCTGGATAGGCAGTGTCACATGCTTTTATGAATTTATTTCAGAAATTGCTCTTCTTCTCGGGAAACTAGAAGTTTTTTAAATTAGAGACACAACAGTAGGAATACTCAAATTACAGATTCACTTCTTTTTTTTTTTTTTTTTTTTTTTTAAGAGAGAGGAGAGAGAGAGAGAGATAGAGAGAATTTTTAATATTTATTTTTTAGTTCTCGGCAGACACAACATCTTTGTTGGTATGTGGTGCTGAGGATCGAACCCGGGCCGCACGCATGCCAGGCGAGCGCACTACCGCTGAGCCACATCTCCAGCCCCACAGATTCACTTCTTATCTTGACATGATGAAGCACGCCTGTAATCCCAGTAATTTGAGAGGCTGAGGCAGGAAGATCACAAGCTGGAGACCAGCCCCAGCAATTTAACTAGACCCTGTCTCAAAAAATGTATATAAAGCTGGGCGCAGTTGACATAACTAAAATCCCAGAAATTTGTGAGGCTGAGACAGGAAGATTTCAAGTTCAAGACCAGCTTCTGTAACTTAGCAAGACCCTATCACAAAATAAAAATAAAAAGGTCTGGGATGTGGCTCAGGGGTTAAGTGCTTCTGGGTTCAATCCCCAGTACCAAAAAAAAAAAAAAAAAAAAAAGCACCTCTTCTAGTCACAGTCTCCAAATTCAGAAGGTGTGCCTTTGATGGTGGCTTAAAATGTATATTTTATACACCCTTTCTAGAGCATTCATAGTCTTTTCTCTCCTTTTTTTCTCTCTTGTTTTTTCTTTCTTTTCTTTGCAGTGCTGAGGATAGAACCTAGGTCAGTGTATCTCATTAAAACAAATTTAGCTGCTATGTATTTCCAGATATTTATAATGCACACCCTCTTCAGATTTGTTATTAATAAGGAGACTGTAGCTGTGAAACACGGGTGCTGCCTCTCCCTTCACCTGTGCCCCTCAGATCACAGTGACACTGAGAGAACCCTCCCACCAGTCTATCCATCTAGTGATCTCAGGGTCCTGTGTAACAACATTTCGATAACCTACCCCTAAAAGTGTTGTAATTCAAGTTGGAACCCATCTGCCATCCTTCAGCTAGTATGACAGTGTTACTTATTTGTGTGTTAGAAATTGAATGAGGGCCTAAGATGGTGGCACTATAAAGGACCCCATATGGAAAGTGTTTTATTTTTTTTAATACTTTTTTAGTTGTAGATGGACACAGTACCTTTATTTTGTTTATATGGTGCCAGGATCGAACCCAGTGCCTCACGCATGCTTGGCAAGTGCTCTACCACTGAGCTATAACCCTGGCCCTGGTTAACTTTTTTTTAAATTTTAGTTTCCTCAAGCTGGATCCATAACCCAAACCTTAAGCAGGAGGGGTAAGTTTTAAGCCCCAAAACTTACTTTAAGCTGAAGCATTTTTCATATTCTAGGAGTCATAAAAAGGTGAAGGTCATCACATTCTAACATTGTGGCAGAATTCCATAGTCAAACCACACCGGTCTGGTTAATCTTGTCTCTTCCTATGTGTCACTGAGGAACTTGGAATATCATCTCTGCTGTTCAGGTCATAGTCCCTACTGGACCCAAGGCCTCTTGGGTATACCGTCTTTGTTAGTATTAATGCTTTGTATGACTTCTGTGCAATTATATAAGTTCAGTTTGGACAAAATGCTGTTACTTTTTAAGGTTCTATTCATTGAAAATAACATTTGTCATTCCCCAACAAGGGGAAAGCATTTGTTACTGTCATTTTTAAAATATACTATAAAACAATATAGAATTGTTTGGGTATGTGTGTTATTTTATAATCTAGGGTTTATAGGTTTAAATGTGAGAACACATTGTTTTACAAAATATTTTCTTTTACAAAGTATTCATTAAATGGCATCACAAAATCTTGATAGTAAACTTGAGATGCTCTTACAAGTTGCAGATAGAGGAAAAAAAACTGGATTTGATCCAGCCTTTTGAAAGTTAACTCCGCAACACTGGCCCATAATTTTCCAGGCAGCCCTGTAAGGCCACAAGACTATAAACAATAGCCATAGACAAGCACTTTAGGAAGGTTGGATTTTATGGGAAAGTAGGATAAATTTGCAAAATAGTGAAAAAGCAAACTTTCTCCGTGAGCCGTACACTGAATCATGTGCTGCCTCTCCATTGGGAACCATCTGTGTTTATTTACTTACTTATTTGCTAGGTTTTGCATTGCGGGGAATTTAACCCAGGTCCTTGAGCACTAGACAGGTATTCCACCACTGAGCTGCATTCCCATTTCTAGGAACCATCTTTTATGTACTTTGAGTATTCATATACATACATGCACACATACATATATACACACATATACTTTTGTTTCTATATACATATACATACACATATATACTTTTTTGTTTTTTCACAGTAGTGGAATTGAACCCAGGAGTGCTGTACCACTAAACTATATCCAGCCCTTTTTATTTTAGATAGGGTCTCACTAAGTTGCTAAGGCTATCCTCAAACTTGTGATCCTCCTCCTCTCAAGTCATTGAGATTACGGATGTGTGCCACTGTGCCCTACTATATGTATGCTTTATTATAATTTTGGTAAGAAAAAAAATGTACTTTTAGTTGTTGTTACCAGGGATTGAACCCAGTGGTATTTAACCACTGAGCCACATCCCCATTCCTTATTTTTTGTTTTGAGACAGATCTTGCTAAGTTACTTAAGGCCTCACTAAGTTGGTGAGTCTGGCTTTGAATTTGTGATCCTCCTGCCTCAGCTTCCTCAGCCTCTGAGATTATAGATATGCATCACCACACTCAGCAAATGTACAGATTTCAGAGAAAATTTTTAATTTGCATGATGCTTTCCAAAATTATAAATTTTTGAAATGTTGATATTGCATACTTTATGGGAATTGAACCTTTAAAAATAATTTAATTTAAAATTGAATTTAAGTATAAAGAATCCAACTTTTCCTTTCATTGACAAAATGAAACACAAAATTTACAATAATGTAAATAGACTGCTAACCCCTTTTACTTCAAATATTTCTAAGCAGTTTAGCCATAATATACATGAATTATTTGACCACCAGCTGGGGGAGCTGCTCATAACCTAGACTCCACCAAGAAGCACTTCCTTGACAGGTCACAAGTTCCCAGCATATGTAAAGCAAAAATCTGGGCTCTCTGAAGCTGAACCTGCAAGGAGCCCTCCCCCACTAATTTCCAGCCCCCCACCCCCACCCCATGTCTAACAGCCCTGTGTCTCTGGAACACCACCTGCTCCAGCAAGCCCAGAGCTCCCTTGTCTGTGATGAGCATTCAACTCTGCTCCTGCTGTTGCTGCCCCTCCTTGTCATGTTTCACTAAATCCATGGCTCCTGGTGACTCTAGCTGCTCCAAATTGAGTCCATCTGGCTCTTCTAAAGACAAGAGGATTGGTATCTCCCAGA